CGTTACTCTACATACATCCAGATAAGCTCCAACAAAAGGGAGCTGCTGCTCACCAGAAATACATTGCAGCAAAAGTTTTTGATATTCTGCAGGTACCTTATAATTTTGTCAAGTAGTACTTATTCCACAGCCAAAAGTCCAGTATCTGCACTAGATATACGAAAACTAATATTTAACTAGAGCGGCCCATTAACTCTCTTATCCCATCTAGTATCGTACTTTCATAGTTCGATCAATACTAACTCTCACTCCCAAGCAAATTGGGGTCGGCAACTGTACGTGATAGTGCTTTGATTTGAACCATGAAGAGGGGTTATAGGTGAGGCTTAAATTCAGTTTATGGTAAAATCTAGGATCCACTGGTTACTGGTTTGAGAAGCCAAGTATTACAACTTCATTATCATGTGAACACAACTGCAACATTTCCTCTTGTGACATTTCTGTGTAGCATACGAACCCTAAACGAAACCACCATTCGAATGAAGTTTGCAGAAAATCATGCAAGTTTAAACATATAAGTCAATGCTTGTTCTATACATCATAATTCTACTACTACTCCCTCCGTTTCAAACTGTTTATCCAGTTTTAATTTAGCACGGAGTTTAAGAAAGTAAAGAAAACTTTTTGAATGTCGTCATCTTAAATTAAAGATAGGTAGAATGTATGAAAATGTTCTTAGTCCTGTGCTTTCAAACATGTCATGTGCTAAGTAGAATTAAAGAGTTTTCCAAAAGGAAAAAGGCATTCTTTCTGAAACAAACTAAAAAAAGGAAATTAAGCAAATAAATTAAAATGGAGGGAGTATTACTGTGGCCATCCTACTAAATTGCCCCATATTTCATGAGACTAAATCTTTTGCTTGTATTGTTGAATCATAAAAGTTCTAAGTATGTTTGGTGCAGGAAGCTTGGGATCATTTCAACTTAATTGCTCCTATGTAACTCTCAGATATGCAATGTGGTATCCGAGGAGGCGCAGAAACGAAAAAACTCTATTCATCTGTGTACATACCAGGCAAATATGTCATACATATCCTCTCCATACAACATACCAAAATCTGGCTTTTCTCTAGTTATACATAGATAACAGACTTTACTCAAAGTTCATATATTCTTTTTTCTACAGCAGAGTTATGAGTTAGTGGTAATTGTTACAACATCTGATAGTAGGCAGCAGGAAGCTAGCCTTGTTATACAAAACTACCCTTCCATATAGATCGTCGTGGCATGAACTTTGTCAATAGATTCCTAGCTTCACTTGCTTGTGATTGCAACCATTCCCCGAAAAAGGGGGAGGATGGATGTAATTCCGAATTCTACTCCTGAAGTCAAGTCTTTCAATACTAGGATTGAAGTAAAGTACTTCCGAGTTGCTCATTTCCCAAAGCCCTCCTTTCTACTTAAATAGAAAGATTCTTTGGGGAACTGTGAATTTAGTTGTATTATCAATCACTTTCTGAAACATCAACACAACTCTAAATCCTCAGGTTAGGCTACGTACACACCACCCTCCCCAGACTCTAGTCGTGGAACTACATTGAATATATTATTGTTGTTGAAAGATAGCTACAAATAAACGTTCACATAAATTGGATCACTAAAAATTTGGTGTTTGTCTACTTGATATAACAGATTTTAATGTTGGTTTTAGAAACAAGAGACACAAGCAGCTGTACTTCTTCATGATAAAGCTGTCAATCTTGTAAAATGTGCATGATGAAAATTGACTTGCATTATCGTATCGTAGTAGAGCAAGAACTAGTACTTGCAATAAACTAATCCTTAATGGTACATAAATATTTAATTTTCCAAAGATCCATGCCCTTTTGTAATTGGCTACAATACTGGTCCCCTACTCCAAAAAAAATAAAATAATGTTTTGAGTGAAATATTGAAAAATCAAGATTTGGGACCCCTTGTTGTGACCTAAATGGGATAAGCCTAAATAACTAGTAATAGAAAATTCAAATCCTTAAACAATCAACTTCATAGTTGCCCCCCACTAATATCATAAGGTATCATATTGTAAAGTCATAAAGTCTGTTGTAAAAGTGACTCAATGAACATAGGCTCTACTTTCTATAAGCAAATAATTACAAATTCAGAATTTAAAGATTCTAAATTCTAATATATATATATATATATATATATATATATATATAAAAAGGAGTTGAGTTTTGATGAATCAACAAGCACGATATATTACTCATCATTTAAGGAATGATTATTGCTCAATGTTTTTGGGTGGTTTAGCTTACAAATTACTATACTGTATATGTGGTATACATATTTATACATAATATATACACTAGTAAACTATGTTGATAAAATTAATCGATCGAATGATATATATATATATATTTGGAACTTTTTCAAATACTTTTTGTCTATACATCCTCACTTATCCAATTGGTTTTGGTCCTCCATGTGACTCACAAAATTTAAAGTCAACTTGTTAATGATAGGGAATTCAAAGCAAACACTATTGTTTCACTTAGCTTAGACATGTTCTTTTCTTGAATATTTTGAGCAGAAAGCAGCAACAAAAGTGTGGTTTTTTTTTTTAATTTATTGTATTTATAAAACAATTTGTGAGAAAAATGTCATAAGTTTTAAAATGTGTGACTCACAAAATAATTTTTTTTCAAAAGAAGTGAATAATATTTCTTAGCTCAATATATTAAAGGGTCATAGTGATATAAATGAAATTTCTTCATTATTAATCGAAAATTTTGTTTGAGCGTGGAAAAAAATTGGTGCGGAAACTTTCTGGACTTATATAATGAAAATTTAATTAATCAAATTTTAATACGAGTGTACCAGAGAAAATAAAAGAAAAATAATGTATGTAGGGACTGGTTGGTAGAAGAGGCCAAATGACCTTGGTCTCTATGGCCAACCTGCCTTTTTCTAAGGATACAAATACGAGATGGCACGTTGCTGAGCTATTATAAATTATTTATTTATCTTAGGGTTTAGGCAATAGGAAATTTAGGACCATATTATATAAATATATTCAACGAACGGGACTTCTCTATTTTTAATCAAAAGTTTTAAATTTGAGTTTTGAATATATAGTAAATTTTGATGGACTCGCTTGATTTGAATTTACTCAAGAGGTGTCCATGGCGAAGAAAGAAAACTAACTTGTTACTTCATCCTATCCTAAAAAAAAAATTAAAAATTTCAGTGTTTGATATTATGATTCGATTAATTTAGATTTGCGTTGAAAAATTTAACGTGTTTTGGCGATTTCATATTTAAAACTCGAATCGAAGGTTTAAGGTTTGAGTTTTGAATAAAAAATGCTTGACATTCTAAAGTGTAAAATTTTAACGTGAATTAATTAAACTTTAAAAATGGATTTTGAATACTGAATGATTAACCAAAAAGAAAAGGAATGGACTAAAATTTCACTATATATGGGGGTATTTAGAATTTAATCGTTGTTTTCATAAATATTTTTTAAGGCCATCATAATATTAGATTGTCGTATTAATTTACAAAATTTTAGATGATCGTCTAATATTTTTTTGTGAAAATTTTAGTTTTTGTTCGAAAAGGATTTTTTGATTATAATTTAATTTATTTTTTTTTTAAAAAAAGAAATTTACTAAATAACTATATAAAAAAAAAGACATAATAAACAGAAACTTTAGGAACCATTATTGTTTCATTTGTAAATATATATATAAGGGCATATTTGAGTTAATTTGGTAAAGTACAATGAAGGATTTAATCTTCAACTATTAATTAATGATAAATTGTATTTAATCTTCAACTATTAATTAATGATAAAATTAAAACCATTTCATAAGTTCAGTGATAAATTTGAATCTTTACCCTATAAAATTAAAATTAATACTTGTTTGAAGGATTAAAATGGATCATAATATATTGTTTTCTTTCTTCTTTAAATGTAGAATAAATTATGCTTCTTTTTTCTTTGCAAAAAAATTCCACATGTTTTTTCATTAAATTTTTGGTCAATTTAGCTTGTGACTTTTCTACTCTAATTTTAACTTTATTCCAAGAGCTTTAAAAACACACAGTAAAGGAATAAAAATATAAATAGATCCTTTAGAGCTTTTAAAGACCACAGAAGAAAGGATAATAGCAATTTTGGTCCTTCACTTATTAATAAATTTTAATTTCAATTATAATAATATAAGAATTAATATATTTAACTTTAAATTTTAACTAACATATATGTCTTTTGATCTCCTCGTACATGAAATATATCATATCGGATTTGATTTTCAAATCATGTAACATCTATATACACCTATTTTCTTTTTATAATGAGACCAAAAATCATGTTATGTTGTTAGATAATCGGTGAATACATATTTCACCAAACCAATTAATATGAAGTAAACCTATACTCTAGACTAGTTCTAGACCAAAGTGATAAACGACAAAGGATCGTATATCATATTACAATATAATAAAAATCGTCTTTAAAAAAAAATCTAGTTGATCTTTAAGTATGTTATTATCAAATATTTTCTCCGTTCATCTTTACTTGTTCACTATGTTATTTTGAGATATCGAATAATACTTGTGCATTTATAAAACCAATGAAGAAGTACTCATTTTGTATCTATTTTATCCTTACTATTACATATAATTCATTCAATGTTTAAATATATGACTTATATTTAATGAGAGTGATTTGATAAAATTATCACTATCATTCGTGCTTCTAGTTAATGGTGAACAACAATTATCGGATAAATGAGCTATAAGGTCAGAGGAACAATTATTAATTTAGAATTTAGAAAATTTGTGAATATCCACAAGTTAAGGAATTAAAATTGAACTTTTTAAGTTATCAAAGATTAAATTAAGGAATTAAAATTGAACTTTTTAAGTTATTAAAGATTAAATGTAATTAATCAGATATTAGAAGGATTAAAATTAAATTTTATCAATAATCAAAGGACTAAATATGTTATTAATCCCAATAAAAATTAAGAAAGGAGAGACAGAGTGTGTGTCTCTGTATTTTCTTTCTTTTGTCAGTTTCTGCTTAGCTTCTGAAATTTAGGGTCCCTTCAAATTCCTCTCTCTTTGTTTTTTTCAGTTCTTTTACTTATATTAACCAAAGCAGAATTTTACTTTATTCTGAAAAATCTTAGCTTTTTTCACTCTAAATCTTTTCAGAAAAACATGAATGTGTGTGAAATACTCATGAAGAGACACAACTAGGGATGTTCTGTTTGTTTGTTTTTTCACCATTTGCATTATAGTTGTGTGTGTGTATGGTCAAGAAAAGCTTAAAGGTGGAGTCTTTGGTATCACTTCTAATGGAAAATTGTAAGTCATTCATTTTAAATTTCCATCTTCCTCTCTTTTTTTTTGTTGTATAAATGTTTTTAATTCGGGGGTGGATGCAGGTTTAAGTTATCGAGTTTATCTGAACTCAGTACTTTTGACGTGTTCGTTAAGATTATGATAAATAGTAGAGATTGTTGTAATTCTTAAAGATTGAATCTTTTGTTGAGTTCAAATCCTGGATCCCCTTATGAGTTTCTTGATGTTTAATCAAATGCTGTGGCTTTTGAATTTTATTGTTGTGCAAAGTTTGGATGTTTCTTCAATTTATGTGGTTGAGTTATGTCCACATTTGAAATTTTGTGAACCTGCTATTTCTTGTTCAAGAATTGGTTGAATCTTTTTGTTCACTGCAAAAGTTCCAATCTTGCTGTAAGATCTGATATAGTACTGGTCTTTTTACATGTTGAAGCTGTGATTCTGTCATTATTTCTTCTTTTTTCTTCTGAGTTTCAGTTTTATATTCTTTTTGCACCTTTTTTTGGTTTCCTACATGAATTTCATTGGCCTTCTCTTTAGAAAGCAGCATTTCAGAACTGGGATTTGTATCTATATTTGGAGGAATAAAGTTTACTGTACATGTTTGAATCTAATTATAGGTGCGCAGAGAGGATTTTCACTAAGGAGGTTCGGAATAGATTCTCAGTTGTGTCGAGGTGGTTTAATATGCAATATATACATAATTATCAGATTTGATCTTACATATAGTACGTATTTTTCCGTCGAAAGGATTTGGATGAACCCTTTCCACTACCCCGGCTCCACCCCTAATGATAAGAGTCACATAAATAGCTCTTTTTTTATTTGAAGGAATAGTGAACTGTTTGTTTCTTTGCTATGTGGTGATTACTTGTCCAAAAAAGGCAGAAGTCTAATTTCTTTTAATTTATGTTATTTTGGGGATATTTATAATTTGTGGGATCTGCTTACTTCATAGCTATTCATTTGACTTTTGAACTATCAATCCCTTCTTCTCTATACATTTCCAAATGTGAGAGTTATTAATCATATTAATATCTTCAATAATTGTGTAAGACAACCCTTTAGTCGAACTACTTCCTGAGTTCCTTTTTAGAACTGTCATTTTTTTCCTTTCCCTACTTTGACCTATGTTGCTTGGACTCTCCAAAAATGTTGCTTCAGCCGTATCGGATCTCCGCAAAAGCACTACTTTTGGAGTAGCCGACACACACACACACCCGTTAGATTTTTTTGAAGAGTCCAAGCAACGTAGATTTTTGACCTAGTTTTGGACTAGAAAATCATCAGAATGAGGATTAGGAGCTTACGTAAGTATACAGTTAAAACCAGTACGTCGGCTAAGATGAAGAAGTGTCAACTCCATTTAATGCTTTTCAACTTAGGTAGAAATTGACATTATATAGTTAAAGATTATAATAATTAATGTGTCTTCTTGTTTTTGTTTTGTTTGAAGAATGCTAGTTATGGTTAATAGTTAATGAATAATCTGTCTGATCTATGCTTGTATGAACAGACAATTAGATTGTCTATATCAGTACGGGCTTGTCTGGTTGCTGGTTATAGTTACTCATGATTAGTTATACAAGGCTTAATTTAACATTTAAGTATTCATGTATTATTAGTCATTGTATTAGTTAGTCTATCTTCAATCTCGCATATAATAATACATAAAAATTGACTCATAAGTCATAACTTATACTTGTTTTAATAACCAAACACCATATTTGGTGTGCTAATTCTTATACAAAGCAACTAAAAAGCTACCAAACATGATATTGTATTAGTTATGCTAGTTTTAATACATGAATAATTCCCTTCCTAATCAACGACCAAACGACCCTGTTGTGCATTAGCAAATATCTACTAGATGAGCTAATTAAAATTGAACTTCCAGTTCTGCTCTTGAATTAAAGTATGTAGATATAAGAAAGAGCTGCAATAATGGATGCAGACTACTGAGGATTACATACTAGAGTTAGTTGTTTCCAACTTATGCCACAAAGTTGACTTTCTTGGAAATGAAAGAGATGGATATATTCTTGCTTTTCTTTAACTTCCCTCTCTCCTCTCTCTCCCAACTGAAGATTCCTTCTGAAATTATCTTTTATGGGAAGTTCCTCACAACTGTTATATGTTCACTTACCTTTGTTTGTTTAAATACTCATTTGTTAATTGAACAATTCAAACTTTGAGAAGTAATAGTAGGGCCTTGTCGCAATGATGATTAAGTAGAAGGTGGCAGCAGCTATATATTATATATTATCCTCAAAGGATCAAGCTGTATCATAGAATAGCTAGCATGACTAGTAAAAACAGGCTGTTAGCTAAATATCTTCCATTAATAAACAAAAAAGAGTCTGGAATTGTGTGATATGTCTGTTTTAAGGAACTAAAAGTGCATGGACAAAGGAATGTAATGTGCTACGTCAAGTACAATTGTTGTAATGTTCTGATGTGAAGTTGGATGGAGAACATTTGGTACGGAAGAATTGGTCATAAATTATAATTCACATATTTCATGGCATGCTAAAAAAATGTTGGTTTTGGATGGACGATATGTAGTCAGATAAAGCAAGCATATTGTAGTTTGTTACCAGCATGTTGTTCTTAACCTCTGGTTTCATATATAATGCATTAGATCTCTCAGAAGACAGCTTCCAGGTTAGCAAACAGTATGTGCCATGTTATACGTGGTCAACTATGAAACATTTCATGTTTCCCTCTAAATCATTTTATAGAAACCCAGTGATTTGTTAAGCATAGTAGTTTAAATAAGGAAATTTCTTGAAAGCACAAGGCTAATGTTTTCTTCAAATGGGTTGGTCTTGTTTTTGTACTGGTGTACTGGCACACATGAAAATAACTAGTTTTCGTACTTACCATTATCATATGGTTACTAGTTCTAATTTGAGACGGACTTGTATATGATCAAAATCTGTATTTCAACTCGATTTATGGAGGTGAAAAACTAGAATGATATGTTCTTTTAGATGGAAAACATGCCCTAGTGATTTATCCTTTTGCTTTGCTGTTCTCATATTTAACTGATATCATTGGTTGATACATAGAAACATTGGCATGATTAAACTTCATCTGGTTTTCTATTAAATTGTTGGAATTGAATTGTGAGAAAAGAGCTATGATTATTTATCTTGGTGCAAGATTCTTTCTTTGGTGCATTACTAATTTTCCCTTTGCATTTTTTCTTTTCTTGTTCTGAAGACTGACTTCTTAAACTTTAGTATGAAGCCTTATGCATTTCTGTTAATGCAGATGTACAAGACGCCGGTTGGCTTTGAGTGAATCTTATTTTGCATAGTAAAAGGAAAATGTCATTACAATCAAAGAAAGGATGGAAATCAGTCATGCCCCTCCGTCTGAAGACCAAATCATCAGCACATTTTTGTTTGCTCCCCAAAACGAAGTCGGATCGTTTTGATCCTGGTGAGACACCAGTTTGTCTCAATGTTTATGACTTGACACCGATGAACAACTATGTCTACTGGGCTGGTTTTGGCATCTTCCATTCTGGTGTGGAAGGTAAGAGTTATTATTTAAGTGTGCACCTAGGGAAATTATCCTTTCCTTGTAAATATATGGTTCTATATGGATTTGTTTTCCTATTCTAAACCTCGATTTCACTAATCGATTAATGAGAGAATTGCATCTACAAGATGATATGTACCACATTATCATATGTTTATCTGTCATAAATTTCATTTAACTTTAATGAGATCAAAAATGTTTGTGATGCTTAAATTCAGGATCTGAAACTTGCCTCTAGGATTATTCATGTAACGAAAACAACAACTTGCCATTGTAATCTCACAAATGGGGTTTGGGAAGGGTAGTGTGTACGCAGCAGCCTTACCCTGTCTTATGAAGGTGAAGAGATTGTTTCTTATAGACCCTTGACTCAAGTAAAGCAGATTCAAGAAGACAAGTGAGTAAAACAAATATAGTAACGTATCAGCCATGCTAAAAATAATTTAGAAGAGAACAAGTAGCAACAACAAAATGTACGATAAGAAGCAAAGGAAACAACATGTAACAATAAAATCGAAGAATGAGACAGTAGGAGAGTAATAATATTGATAGGGGAACTAGATAATACTTTACTACCTACTAACTTTCTACCATAATACTCGACCTCCATATCCTCCTATCTAGGATCATGTCCTCGGCAAGTTGCAGGTGCGTCACGTACTGTCTAGGGTATGTTCATGTAGTATACCCTAGAACTGTTTCATTCTCAGTTTGAATCTCTTTATGATTGGTAAATATATGAGCATGCATTGGAGCTTATTCGTAACATTTTCATGTCTAATAAATATTTGGTTTGCATCACAGTTTTTAGTAGATTTCTACTTTTGACGTGATATAGCATTTGACACCTGCCGGTTCATCTTTGCATGCTTCCTGAAGAAGATACTTAGCAGTTTTGGTGCTATAGATAGCAAATAGACTAATCACCTCATTTCATCTAGAGTGTTTACTTGGTACCTGCAATCTGTTTCTCATTGAAAAAATACAGTTTCTGCAAGTTCTTTGAGTCGATTGGGATGAACCCTCAAGGTTCTCCTAATATTACACTAGCATGTGAAACTTGAGATGAAAATAGTTTCGTGCTACTGCTAAGAAAAGACACGTCTCTAACTCAAATCTTGGACGCATCAACAATTTTCTTCTATGCCTTGTATTTTTGAACTTCAACTAATGTAACATTTACTTTACAGTCCATGGTGTAGAGTACGCATTTGGAGCTCATGATTACCCAACCAGTGGTGTCTTTGAAGTTGAACCGCGAAAATGTCCAGGATTTAAGTTTAGGAAGTCAATATTAGTTGGGACTACAAAGCTGGATCCGAATCAGGTTAGAGAGTTCATTGAGCATCAAGCTGCTGCCTACAATGGTGACTCCTATCACTTGATTGTGAAGAACTGCAACCATTTTTGCAAGGATATATGCCACAAGCTGACAGGGAAAAAGATTCCAAAATGGGTGAACAGGCTTGCAAAATTAGGTAACCTTTGCCATTCCACCCCGCTTTATTTTGTTGTGTCTACAGTTAATATTGCCCAGAATGCGTTCTAGCTTTTAATTATCATCAATATCTGTGGTTCATAGAGAAATAAATCTCATCTTTTGTTTCTTTCTGTGTTCCACAATAAAAATCCATTTTCCCGCCATCTTGGCACTCAAGTCGGTACATGCAGTATTAATTACATATCAAAGCTTCCATTTTCCATTGGTTCAGTTATAGTACACAAATTTGGTGGCTTCTCTTGCTCCATATGATACTATTGCATATGTACGGCAAGTAATTAATCTCGAATTTCCATTTTTTGAGATATAACTCTTCATTTTAGAACACAACTTTCCTGAAATAGAACATTTACATCTCTTTAAATAGGTATATCTTTGTCCATATTTTGATTTTCCTTTCATGGAAAGTATAGCTAAAAGCATTATACAATTTTGTTTCCATAAGTTTGTCAACAATATCTATGAGATTTATATGTCACTGGACCTAATCAGACCTTGAGAAAAACTGTCTTATATACTTGCGCAATCTCAAGCACATCAAAAAGGAGCATATAAATAAAAATGATAACTTCATATTGTTTAGCCATTGTGGATGAGTCTCACCTCCTAAATGTACAGATATATGCTCCTTTTTGATGTCCTATTTGAAAAGAAAAAACATCGATTGAGTGATCATATTTTCCAGAAAAGCTTATTAACTACTACTGCTATTCCATTTCGTGTTGCATATTTTCCTTTTTAGTCTGTTCCCAAGATGTTATCTATCTTTTTCCTTGGTTGTAGTAAAATTTTGGTTTATCTAGTGAGGAACAGTTTCACTCAACGTCAAATAATCAAAACTATAAGCTTTAGGCATCTAAGAATGACACATTTTTATTGAGAACTCTTTACCCCTAATGGCATGCTCTTATATCCATAAAAGTTTGTTGTAGCTGACCATGAGTTCCAAAAATACTTTTGGTATGTGACAGAAGTCTTTATTTCTATAATTTTACCTTATACTTGTGCCCTAATAAAGCACCGCGGTTTAAATAAAATGAAAGGAGTATTGTTCATGATATGGTGCTGCTCTTTTTTGTCTGCATAGGTTCAGCATTCAACTGCATGTTACCTGAGGCTTTGAAAGTTGCTGCTGTCGAAGACGAACCAAATGGCCCAGAGTATGATAGTGAGAAGAGAAGGCTGAGAAGTGCTTTCAGTTGTTTTTCTTCGATTTCAACGAGACAACAGAAGCTATCTACGTCTTCGTTATTTCTGCAGTCACCCGTTAAAGGTTGCTTACCTTCTTTGGAGTTGAGAAAGTCTACCAAATGCACTTCAAAGGAAAAGTAAACATAATTTACTCTCAAAATTGTGAAGGCTACCCTATATGGTATTTTGAGAAAACTATAGAATGATAAAATTAACACTGTTTAAGAAGGTATACTATGTGTAATGTGGCATTGCCAGTATATACAATTTGCGCGTCCCTTTTATCTCGAGTAATTTTCTGGTTCATTCATCGATTGATCACACGAGTATGCATCCACATAAAATAACAATCCACTTTACACGCCGTTTTACTAAGAGATGCAACATGTTGAAAAATGTTCAACATTGTTGGACAATATGTTGGATCATATATGCTTAGTTTGCGTTCTTCAAGGATTGAAAAGAAGAAAAGGTGAGTTCATCTGGGCTGATTCTTGTTAATAGTTTTACCTTATCGTTGCTCATTTTTTCGCGGAGAAAGACAAAGCTTTACATTATCGCGTTATATTTTCTAGTTACCGTGATGAAATTGTGTTATAAACAGCTTGTTACTTGTGCACTCCTTACCCACATAAGCTCACTTTTTTGTGTTATGAACTTTGGCATAATATATTTGATCAAATTAGTTCATCATAGGGAGAAACCCAAGAAAAATGTGATGCTAAGAATTACTGGACCAAATTTACAGAACATGATGATAACATCAATGGCATCTCTGAATGACAATCTTCAACAGCATATAAAATATATCAATGGCATTGCATCTTCACAACACCCACCCACCCAGCAACCGCGTCTCCCACCAGTGACAATCTTCAGTAGCATATAAGGCATACAGAAAAGAGAAATAAAAATGTGAGAAATGATATTTGAGATAGTGTTGATGTGCCTCCAACATACTTGATTTTCTGATCTTTGAATACATTTAGCCAAAAAAACAAAAATGAACAAGAACCTTTAGTACTCCTGATAACCAAGTAGCAGGTGAAGAGGCGGCTTTAGTGACTAGCTCAGGAGCAATCGTCAAGGAAAATTAGTGGGGAGTCTATTCACATACCGGAAGAGAGGGAAGACACTAACCTAACCTTGGGAGTTACATTCAACCCAGCCAGCAGCACTAGCTGCTACACTGAATTCACCTTTTCGGGTGTGTCAAAACGGAAGGTAAAATGAAAAGGAAACAGAGATAATTGAGCATGTAACACCACTGGCGGTGGCCAAAGAATGTTGTCCATAGGTCCATTTTCATTGATATAGACACAAAGAATGCTTCATCTGGATAAGCTATCTTCATATAACTTTTGCAAATAATAGAATCACAGAATGAATATACAGATGGCGAACCCGAATTATTGTTGACAAAACAAACCTGCAGGAACACCAAAGAGATTCTTCAGATAAACAAATGTCCAAAGATGCTTGTTAAAACATTGCCTAATTGTCATGTAACACATGATATACACAACACATACAACCTCTCAAACTGGAAACCTGAACAACAAATGTCCACCCAGGATTATCAACAAAGACAGAACACCCAAATTTTCTTATTTTAGACAACCGCACTGTCATTATATTCAGAAACAACACAACTAGCATCACACTTGGACTAGATATCTTTTTCAGTGCCCAGGCGATGAAATTATCAATCGTCTTTCTGATGGAAAACAGTAGGCATGCTATTATTACCATTGAGAGCAGCATGATATACTCGCTTCTCTGCCAAACCAATATCTGAAAGTAACAAATTACCCTGCATGACCAGAGGAATGAGATCATCAATCCGCACACAAGTATACAGAGGATTGAAATTACCCTGTAATAGATTCATTTATTTACTTTGCATGCGTAGGGAGAACACAAGGGGAGGTAAAAAGAATACTACTTTTATAAAGATAAGCATCTGTTGTTTGCAGTGCAAAGATCATGATATTTTGCTCTTACTTTCAAGGAATACAAACATAAGAGCACAGAAATAATGGGTTGTGAAGGACTCCTTTTTTCTAAACAACATTTCTAAAGAAAATTTCAACGTAAGCTCAATAGAGGACATAGCTTGCCATCTCCAGATTGCAGAGAAATATATCCACTTTCTACAAAACCACATCTTATGAGCAGGAAGCATTGAATGAAATTTCATTCTTACAAAATGGTCAATGAACTATGAAGTATGTTCCTCTAATTGTAGTGGGGGAGAGGGGCATAAAACTAGCAAATCGTATTTCTAACAGGTCTCCAGATTTACTTCATGTTCCTACTCTGCAAATATGAAGATTGAGCTTGTCATTAAGGTAAAATTGCATCCAAAACATACCTCATGAGCCATCAACCTCCGAACATTCTCAGCATAAAGTCTAGGGTCATCCTTTTCTTGCTGAGAAGGGTAGTAAACAGGTAACCAGGTTGCCTCCACGTAATTTACAAATTGACAGAGAAGGAGAATCACATGCCGAGCCTGCAAAAGGAATTGCATTTTCATCCTAAGAAAAAGAACCAGTCTCATAGAATTCATGACTTTATTTAACAGTATAACACTGATTACTATGAACAATTATTATAAATGTAACCAGTTGACCATATAATGAGATGCATACAAGAACTTTTGTGCTATCAGATTCATCTATCAGAACAAATATTCAGGTATTTGATACTAAATTTTCCTTGCTGTAACGCTAACTTGGTGCCATAAGGTTCAGCTAAAAATCTATCATTTGTCTATTTTGTGGTAAAGAAATCAAGATCCCGACAAAGTAGTACGATTCTATGATCCGTATCTGTATTCTGTTACACTAACTGTCAGAACAGGAAAATTATAATGTAGTATACATTTGCACAAAAGCAGGAAAACAATTAATACATGCCTGAATGCAAGAAAATGATAATTCTTAAAACCAAAACAAGAAACATAACATGTTTTAAGATGAACAAAAAAGACAATCATTGGTGTTAGGAGGGAGCATGAATATTAGCCTGTATCTGTAACAAGCACAGTATTATGAAACTGAATCATTCACTGAAGATGGAGTACTACCATATGACAGAGTGTCCCTAAAACGACAAAGCAAGCTTCAAATTATCAAATACTTACCCCAGATATAGAGTCCCATGCAGGACTTAATCTCTGGTACGGATATCTTAGTATCACAGGTTGCACTGGAGCCCCTGAGAGAAATGCGCCACTCTTGAATGGAAGGAGAAAATCACCATTTGTGGTTGTGCCCTCTACAAGGAAAAATATAACAGATTAAAACAGTAGTAAACCATGAGAAGTCGATTTTTGCAAGAGAATCTACGAAATAAATTAAAAGCTCTAGCTTAAAAGCTGGTCATCAAACTAGCTTTAAACCACTTTTTGGCTTATTTTGGTGTTTGGTCTTTAAGCCAAGTGCTTTTAAACTAAAACAAACCAAAATATATTATATAAACACCTCTAACTTATGGCTCTTCAGTATAAAAGCTCTTTAAGTTTGACCAAGTGTTTACTTTATTATCCCTTTAACATTTTTACAACCCCAAGATATCCTTTAGCTTCTCTTTCAAATGTACACCGAATCATAATGTTATGAATGCTGATTCATTTCATTCTCTGAAGCAAAAAAAATAAATCCAAAATCAAGTTTTTGACACGAGTTCTTGAAATGCTGGACGTCAATCACAGATCAAGTCTATACAGGTAGAGAGATTTTTAAGTGTATTAAAGAAGTCTCATATTACAACTATACCCAAGGTTTAGATATAATAGAAGACCAAAAATAATTTGACTAAAGAATGTTTGAATTCATTAAACAAGTCTAATAATTTTGATCTATCAACTCAATGAACAACTTCACATCATTCAAATTAGTAAAAGCTTTTACCAAAAAAAATTAGTAGAAGAAGATCACGTCCATGATGAAAAGAATAAAGTCCGGTGAAGTACAAACAGTAGAATATTTTTAGGTATACTCATAACATTACATAAATGCCAAAGATGTGATATCCCTCTCTATCTACCTCTCTTTCACTGTGCAAAAGAACCATTGCTCATCTATTTACTGATCAGTGTTAAGCAGAAAATATTGGTAGAAGAAATGTGCAGTAAAATGTGAGACGCAAGTCAGTCAGTTGGTGCACTTAAAGCAACATTGACCTGGAAAAAGCAGCATGATTGGTGCAGATTTGTTCTGGTGAGCTTCACGAATCCTTTCATTTACAACACCTGCAATTGTATAAGTTTAATACCAAGGATATGGGAAAAATTAAGGCTGCATTCCATATGAAAAGGAGAAGAGGGTTCTACTACATCTATGGAAGTGTCATGGTGCAGAAGATTTTACCTTGAGGTTTCCGGACACACCAAATCTATATATAGCAATAAACGTTTCCATGACTCCAAAAAATTTTGTAAAAGAAATTCAACCGCCTTGATTGGAAATGACTCCCTCTATCACATTTTATCTAACTTCTTTTCACTAAGCCAGATGTTTAAGATACTATTGTTTTCTCTTGTATACTATATAGGAGGGATGGAATTAAGCCAATGGTTTAGAAGTTTGCAAAAGAATTAACTAAATGGTTTAATAGGTAGTTTAATGAAATAAATATCAGTTAAAATGTAAAAAGTCACCAATTTGAATCCTCAAAACCAAGTAAAAATTGTATCTATTACTAATATGTTGTCAAACATCAAGAAATACAAAAGTGTCAATACATATAATCGAAGGTGTAAAAAAGGTATCCTTCCCCCATCTTCTAAGACAAGAAGGCTGCAAAAGCTTGCATGATGTAAAGCGAAACAAAATTATCATTCTAAATTTCTGCATTCATTGTGTGACTTAGACAAATCAATAATGCAGAGTTCTATACAAGACTATTTTCTCTTAATCCTCAAACAAACGAGCTATATTATTGTACCAAATCTAGTGCAATATCTTTATTACCTGAGACACCTTTAAAATCAGGTGATTTAGATTCCCTCTGGACATAGACACAGCCAAGGCACTTGCTGAAAAAAAAAATCAACAATCACTAACAATTGCATGGAGTTTGTGATGATCCATCAACTCTTGCACACCAAGCATATATATGACATCCGAGCATATGTGAAAAGTTCAATATATCAGATTCACGTATTGTTCGAGAGGGTAAGTGAATAAAATTATACTTAGATGTACTATCATAAATAGTATATAAAAGTACTCCACATCTAGTAGATGTATCTAGATATGTTGAATGGCATGAATAAAAAGTCTTAGATTTAAGGCATTTGACTTCAAACATTCCCTCTATATCTTCTTTAATGTTTTCTCTTTCTTTCAACAATTTGATACTAGCAGAAAAAGGAATATGTAATAACCACTAATAAGTACATTGCATATATTAATAAATACTATAACTAACCTGATTAGACCAACCAGAGGAAGCTTAGCCACTGATCTCTTCAGCAATAAAAACAAAAAGAAGCAAGGTCAGGAGATTAAGCAAAGTGTGCCAAAAGTGGCTCCATCGAAACAAAAAATAGTTGTCTCAATCTCATTTTACCAAGATTGTAAAAGAAGTCACAGACCTTGGCAACAAAGCTAGGAAATGAGCAAGACATGTGATACAATATATCCAGGTACGAAATGTGGTTTGACACAATTGCCCCTGGTCTTTCAAGTTCTTCAGCCTGCTGTTTTGATCCATCCTGACAAAGAGAAAAAAATGTATCACGTCACGTGTCAAAGCAGGTGAAAACCAGGAATATTAGTTAAACAACAATTTAAGAAGAAAATTTGTTCACAAAACCACAGATCAAATGAGCCAACAACATAACCAGTGTAATCCCATAAGTGGGATTTGGGGAGGGTCGGATCTATGCGGACTTCAACCCTACCCTTGGTGGGGTAGAGAGGCTGACCTTGAGTCGATCGACAATACAGATCAATTGAACCAAACTTCTATAGGTTCGTGTGTATAAGCACAAGATTAGGTTATAACATTGTTTTATTATGAACAAGAGTAAGTCCATGTAAAATTGCTAGAAGTTCCTTCTTTAACCAGTCCAACTGTTCTTGGTTAAAAGAAAAACTAAGAAAAATATGTGTTTACAAATCTACAGATCAGACGAATCAAGCTTATCTACTAATCATCCCTATTTTAGTGTGAATAAGCAGAAAATAAGGGTACAGGGCAGCATTACTTTATGAACCAGTAAAGGCACTTAATCATGTAAAACTGCTAGGTACTCCTTTAACTGGTTCAACTATTTTACTCAACCCAAAAGTAAGGGTAAGATCATCAATGACCAACTGTTTATGGCTTTTCCTTTTTTTCTACTTGTTATTCAATTGCATATTGGTAATATAGAGGTGCCCTAGTAAATCTTCTGCAGCACTTACCCAATGGCCAACACTATGCAACTCTACCTCCCTCACCTCAACACACACATCCATCCCAAATATCTGGGCAACCAAAATAAATACCAAAACTTTTAGGTTTGTGCCCAAAAAAAAGAAACTTTTAGTAGGAGCAAGCAGTTTCAACTTATGCATAACTTAAGTGATGTACCACAAGATTGAAGTACAAAAATCAACATTCAATAACTACAACTAAAACAGTACATACAAACCTTAAACTAGTGGGGTAGCCTTTATGGATCAACATCCATTCCATTAGGAAACCCTTCACCCAACCCCACCCCTTTTCTTTGGTCAACACTCACTAGAAGAAGAAAAAACAGCACCTAAGCAGTAATCATAATTTTTAAAAGTCCTCCTTATGTTTCAATTTATACTTCTTACTTTCCTTTCTAATATGTTCAAAAAAAGAAGAATGTATTTTTCCTCTCTTTTTGTAACTCTTTCAATTCCAATTTTCCATGCATGTCTAAACCTACGAGATTAAAGCACACTTTGGTAAATTTGTGCAAATCAAAACCAGACAAATAAATTGAAAAATACTAGGGAGTACCAAATAAGCTCCTTGACTTCCCTGATCTAATACATGGAGATAAATGAGTATTCCAATGAGTAAATAAACACAAGGGCAAGACAAACTACTTGGAAATTTACGCCTAAAAGTTAAACATCAAAATTAAATATACCTCATTATTTGAGTTGCCATTGAGATTAATAGGCTGATAAGTTTCCTGTATCCAATAGAATCCAAAAACGAAAAGCATAACTCTTGAAAGAAACATCCCACTCTGCATCATAACAGTCCTTCTCCACCCACCCGTATGTGCAAAATCCTCCTGCTCATCCTCGCGATTCGGAGCCCAAAACGCTGTACAAATCTTACAAATCAAATAATACACCACCAAAACAGTCGTTGCCCCAATAACTCTCATCGGAACAAGCGTCACCAATGCAATACCCAAAAGCACCTTCTCTGTCCATGGCAGTTCGCCCTGACCCATTATCCCGTACACATCATGCCTCACGTATGGCGCGTACTTCTTCTCTAATTCCTCAATACTAGGGCTAGATGACTGCGATTGAACTTGGAGTTGAGGGTTAGTCGGGTCGGGTTTCAAAAGCGGACGATCATCTTTAGTGGATCCTTCATCAATGGATTCGGGTTGTGATGGTCGGGTTGTTTCGGGTTGAGGTAATTTCTGGAGCTCGGACTCCATTTTTACCGGTGCCCGGTGATTGATTCTCAACGGGATGCTTTTATCTTCTTATTCTTCTCTATTGGATAGCCATTGTTGTTAATGCTTTATTCCAGAAAAAGCAATTTGTTCGTAGATCTGGGTAACTATAATTTTTTTCTCTACAGAAAAAAAAAAAAAAAAGAAAACAATTTCAATAAAGTATTAAAAGTTTAAATTAATAACATTTTCTCATCACTTCTTTTATTATAACTATAATTATGTCCCTAAAGTTTACGTATTTCCTTTTCGCTTTAATTTGTTTGTCTTATTAATTAATTTATTATTTTTAAAAAAAAATTATTTTCTTTTTTGATAATTTTTTTATTTCTACGTGACATGTTTAAGAATTAAAATCACAAGATTTAAGGGTGATTTATTATATTTTATATTTCTTTTGTGAGATTCAATAATCTAATTTAATTTTTTGAATTATGTGTTAGTGTCATATATCACAATTCACAAATATAATAAATTGCAGTTAAACTGAAATAAACAAAGTATTCAGGCTAAGGATAGTATATGGAAGACCTTGGAAATAAAGGACTAGATATTAAAAAAAAAATCGAAAGTAAAAAAAAAATTAGACACGTGCAAATTCAGCTTCTTTTAATTTTTTTTAAGTTCATACTTAGATGGATAACAGCTATGGTACTTCAATATTAAAAATATAGATGTGACGCCTATGATACTTGATATTAAAGGTGTAAGTTAATTAGTTTTCTTAATTAAATAAGTATATCAATTAATCACGATCTAAAAAATATGGTTAAGATTTCTAAATTATTTTCCAAAATTTTGAGAAAAAATAAATTTACTTTAATTAAATAGCATCAAGCTTTTAGAGTAAAAAGAGTTCTTCTATAGTTTCACAACTTCAATGATGATCAAATCTATAAACATTTTGTTTTTAAAAATAAATTCTATACAATTTTTTTGGAAAAGTTTGTCTAACTTTTACTCTCTAATATATTTTATAGCAAAGAAATTATCAAAACTTTTTAATAATATCTGAATGCTAAGATATTTATTTTATAATTTACAAGATTTTTTTATAAAATAACATATTTTATATTTATTTTAAATTGACGGAAATTTAGTCTATCAAGAAATATTTTGTTTTGATGAATGAAAAAACTATAGATAACGAAAATAATTTGTATTATGATGCAAAAAAATTTGTAAGATATTTTTTATAGCAATAATTAGATAGATTTAAATGATAATATACATCTTTTTAATATGATGAAAAGTAAAGATAGGCATAATTACTAAAATAATAAAATATCAGAGTGAATCGCATTAATTCTATTTTGATTTTTCGAATCAAAATTGATTTAAGTAAAATTTTCAAAATTTTGGAATCTGATTCTTTAATTGGCAGAAATTTCATTATGTGACCCAAAAATTCATTTTTAAACTTTCTGATTCCACCTCCACTTTAAATCACTTTCAACTTTTAACATGTTGCTATTTGGTTTAATTGTAATCTAAAAAATTATAATTGATGAAATTTTGATCCTAATCTATTTTCATAGCTAGTAGTTAGTTTCTATATAAAGCACAAATTAGCTCATTTTTTTTTAATTTTTAAAATAATCTATTTTAAAAACAGAGAAATAATTAATTATATCAAACTCACTTTTAAAAAATCATATAAGAAAAGATTGAATAGAATGAATTAGACCAATTGAGTTCAAATAAAAAAGTTGATTCGACATACATTAATGAAGAATCAATCCAAAAATAAAAAAGTAAATATAAGAAAATCGAATATCCATTATTTAACTTTAAAATTTTATTCTGCCACTAGTATTTGACTCATTGAAGTGAGATTTTTTAAAATGGGTTAAGTCGTAATTACGCATAGATGGAATCCGAATAAAGTTGTCAAATAATAAGAAGATTCGATTATTTTAAGAGCAATTGTAAAGGTAAAATCAATTTATTATGCATGGAATCATTTTAGATTTCTGACATTTTTCTTATTTAAATTCCATGCAATTGTAGTCAGTAAAGGAAACAAGGACAAATTAATATTCCCCATGGAGTTGGGATTTTAGGGTTCGTTTTACCATGCTATATAATGTAACGATATAAAATTATAATTGGGCTAACTTTTACGTATAGCAAATAAAAAATTTATATTTGTATACTATAACAAAGTTTGCATAATTGCGCTCCATAGCAAATATAGAAACTGTATAATTCGCTATACATATACGTTGAAGCAAATTGTATAAAAATGAAGTTTATAAAACAAGAAAAAGAAAGACACTTAGGCAAAGAACGGTACAAAAAAAAAGTGTATAAAATGAATTGTATTACTATATAAAACGATTATATACAATTTGAATTTGTATAAAATGAGAAAAAGAGAAAGACAAAAGAGACTCGACAAGGAATATACAATTGAATCGAATTGTATAAAACGATAAAGAGAGAAATTAGATACAATTTGAAAATTGTATAAAACGATAAAGAGAGAAAGACAAAAGAAACTGGGCAGGGGAGTATTTTTATTGTATAATTATAAGTGTATAGGACGAAAATATATGTACATGCATGTGTATATATAATTTTCTCACGCTTTATACAAACAGAAACTCAATTTATACATTTCGCTTCTGTTTGTATAAGTGAGAAATGCGAGGGTGGCGAGCGAGATTTGAGAGAGTGGCGAGCGAGATCTGGAAGAGGGGAGAGAGGGGAATAAAAATATATGTATTTATACAATTTTCTCTGCTTTACAAAATCAGAAACAATTTTTATACACTTGTGTTTGTATAAAAAGTGAGGAAGCGAGCGAGAGATTGGTGGAGAGTGGCGAGCGAGATATTTGGAAGAGAGGCGCCTGACAATTTTTTGCAAACGTTTGCTATGGAGCACAACTCCATTTATTTTAGGTTATTAGTTTGCTATTATATACAACTTTCTCATTATAATATCATAATATGGAATCATAAGATGAAATTGAAGTTTTGTTTGGACATGCGTTATGAAATTTTGATATTGTATATTTTCTCATAAACATAAAAATCTTATAAGTTTTAAAACTATTAAAATAGCCAATTGTTTATTTAATCTTATCAAATAAACAAAAAAATTATAAAATCGTATAATAAATTGTTACAAAGTTATTTGTTCTCCACTTAAGTGATTATTTCATCAATATATTTGAGTAAAAATGAAACATCTTTCACGAGCTCTTCAAGATTTTATACTCAACCAACGTGAAGTATGAGTTAAAGTGACTATATGTTGGTGAGAATGATAAGTTTTACGTCGATGAGAATAATAAATTTTAAAAAGTAATGATGTGATTATAAATTTTAATTACATGTGAAATAATTTGTTAGTAAGTATAAATGTGTAGTTGTTTTAACAAAATATAAACTCGTTGATCAAATTTTGTATTAAAATATCTCAAATCATGATATGATATTCTCATATAATTCTATATCATTTTTTTTTGGAGAATATGAAATCACATCTCATGATATGAAATCATTCATATCATGATGGAATCAGCATAAAATCATATATCCAAACACTGAATCTATTTCACGACACCATATTATGATATGATATCACATGGCCAAACACCTATTTAGTAAGAATAAATTATTCATTATAAAGTAAAAAAAAAAAATTGTTTCCAAAGGTAAGTAATCATGAAAACGTTTTTGGTATATTTTGATTTCTGAAAATTCTGAAATGTGATGATTATGGTGCTTTTCGAAGTTCAATTTCGAAAAAATAATTTGAAAAATCATAGCTATACACCCTCTAAATGAAATCCATTCGAGAAATATGAAAATAAAATTAAATAATAAAAATTTATTTATTTGATTTATTTAAGACACGTATAACATAGTCACACAATTAAAGCCTCGACTCTTTTCACTGCTTGGGAGCTTACGATTTCATATTTTTGAAATTCGTTTCAGCAAACACATGAATCATTGAGATTTCCAAAACTCAACAACACTACAAAGCGACTCATAAGAAGATCCACCACTGTTAAGTGCAATTTTTGCACTTTCTTTTAGCTCTTTAGCTCTCCTTCTCATGTCTTTCCCCTTTTCTCCTTCCATAACAATCCTCACATTTTTCTCAATTTCATTCCGATCAACGAGCTCTTCCCCGGGATTTTTCGAGAACTTTAAAGCGACGCCAGCCTCCTCCGCTAAGAAGGTGGCGTTCATCCTCTGCTCTGCGTAAAGTGGCCATGCTGTAATAGGTACACCATTAGTTATGCTTTCTAAAGTTGAATTCCATCCGCAATGTGATAAAAATGCTCCGGTAGATCGGTGATTGAGAATTAATGTTTGTGGGGCCCATGATGGGACCACTAAGCCTCTCCCTTCTGTTCTCCTAACGAATCCTTCAGGCAAGTACAGTAATGGGTCATTTTCATCGCTTCCCACGTTGAAAAATGCTGCTGAGGCACTTGCGTCACTTGGTTTGCGCGCCACTAAAATGAACCTATTATATGATAATACAATTATAGTTAAAAAAAATATACAATATGTGTCGCATGAAAATAAATAAATATATATATATTAAATCAACTGTCAACCTCGTAACTTTTCGAGATAGAGTGAATCCGCCCCTAGACATAATACATGCACATTGATAGAACGACATAAAAGATATATGTGTTTACTTAATTAAATTTGGTTAGTTAATATAAGTGTCTATTTGTATCAATTGAAATTGGAGGACATAAATATTGATGAGATTAAATTAAATAATATATTTATGTATTATGTTCCAATTGAATTGATAAATGAAATTTTCTCCATCCTAATTTATTTGACTCTCTATTTCTATTAATTCGTTTAAAAAAATAAATAATGCATATCTATATTTAGTAATAATTTAACTTTGTTTTAAAATGATTCAATCACGTAAAATAAAACACGAGTAAAATATCACCTTTGTTGACTCAGTTCGAGACCCCAAGCTAACTCAGTGAGTTGTTCACTGGTCAAGGTGCCGCCACTACCAAAGACCACAAAAAGAACAGAATCAGGCGGCTGATCATCCAGCCATGCTAAAATCTCTGCGTCTTGTTCTGTAACAACTTCATCTTGTTTGATCAAAGGCCCGATTGTGTAAACAGGAGGAAGAGG